GGCATCCTTTGAAAATTCAAAGAAGTTTCGTGTTACCGTTGATAAGATTCCAATGTGCACGATCCGTCACCTACCTTTCCTAATTCATTCTCACTGAAGGAGGATTGAATCCTACCGAATTCTTTTAGGGCTCGAGCTTGAGTGTTTAAAATGTTTTAATAGCCAATGAGTCTTTGCTGTGGGGTTAAAAAAAATTTGGTTGGAAAACCCGTTATGCTTTATATCCCGCGGAAGTTCTTAAATCCAATGGGTTGCATGTATCTAATACACATGGATTTGTGTATCAGAGTATACGTTCTCGAAAGTGTGTTCTTCATTGTCGCTCTAAAATTATCTTCTCATGTAATCCGCATTACTTTTACACCCCCTCGCAATTGCTATATCACTTTTGAAAACTACCACTTTTGATTTCAATCGCGTACAAATACCCCAACATAGATCTAAATTTTTAGTCCAGTAACTTTGTTCCTAAAAATGGGGGGTTCAATCAGACTTCTAAATCAAAAGTTATGGACTAGAAACCAATTTCGAAAGAAAATTCAAAGGGCTGTAGCTTTTGAATTAGTAGCCCAATCTTGGAACTGTTTGAAATTATGGATTCTACAGGCCACATTCTATAAGAACATTTTTTTCCGGGTCGATCTGAGACAATTTTTTCTTCGGGGCTCAAAAAAAGGCAGTGTATAACCTTCCTTTTTTACCAAAAATCGACTACACCAACATTTCTCGGGAAAACACTTTTTCTTATTAATTTTGGTGCGTAGAATCCAAAACAATTCGTACTTTTTCGATCAGACTTCTCAATCAAAAGTTATAGACTAGAAAACCAATTTCGAAAAAAAATTCAAAGGGCTGTAACTTTTGAACTAGTAGCCCAATCTTGGAACTGTTTGAAATTATGGATTCTACAGGCCACATTCTATAAGAAAATTTCTTTTCCGGGTCGATCTGAGACAATTTTTTCTTCGGGCCTCAAAAAAAGGCAGTGTTTAACCTTCCTTTTTTACCAAAAATCGACTGCACCAAAATTTCTCGGGAAAACACTTTTTCTTATTAAATTTGGTGCGTAGAATCCAAAACAATTCGTACTTTTTCGATCAGACTTCTCAATCAAAAGTTATAGACTAGAAACCAATTTCGAAAAAAAATTCAAAGGGCTGTAACTTTTGAACCAGTAGCCCAATCTTGGAACTGTTTGAAATTATGGATTCTACAGGCCACATTCTATAAGAAAATTTTTTTCCGGGTCGATCTGAGACAATTTTTTTTTCGGGGCTCAAAAAAAGGCAATGTATAACCTTCCTTTTTTACCAAAAATCGACTGCACCAACATTTCTCGGGAAAACACGTTTTCTTATTAATTTTGGTGCGTAGAGTACAAAACAATTCGTACTTTTTCAATCAGACTTCTCAATCAAAAGTTATGGACTAGAAACCAATTTCGAAAGAAAATTCAAAGGGCTGTAACTTTTGAACTATTAGCCCAATCTTGGAACTGTTTGAAATTATGGATTCTACAGGCCACATTCTATAAGAAAATTTTTTTCCGGGTCGATCTGAGACAATTTTTTTCGGGGCTCAAAAAAAGGCAGTGTATAACCTTCCTTTTTTACCAAAAATCGACTACACCAAAATTTCTCGGGAAAACACTTTTTCTTATTAATTTGGGTGCGTAGAATTCAAATCAATTCGTACTTTTTCGATCAGACTTCTCAATCAAAAGTTATAGACTAGAAACCAATTTCGAAAAAAAATTCAAAGGGCTGTAACTTTTGATCCAGTAGCCCAATCTTGGAACTGTTTGAAATTATGGATTCTACAGGCCACATTCTATAAGAAAATTTTTTTTCCGGGTCGATCTGAGACAATTTTTTTTTCGGGGCTCAAAAAAAGGCACCTTCCTTTTTTACCAAAAATCGACTGCACCAAAATTTCTCGGGAAAACACTTTTTCTTATTAATTTTGGTGCGTAGAATCAAAAACAATTCGTACTTTTTCGATCAGACTTCTCAATCAAAAGTTATAGACTAGAAACCAATTTCGAAAGAAAATTCAAAGGGCTGTAACTTTTGAACAAGTAGCCCAATCTTGAAACTGTTTGAAATTATGGATTCTACAGGCCACATTCTATAAGAAAATTTTTTTCCGGGTCGATCTGAGACAATTTTTTTTTCGGGCTCAAAAAAAGGCAGTGTATAAACCTTCCTTTTTTACCAAAAATCGACTGCACCAAAATTTCTCGGGAAAACACTTTTTCTTATTAATTTTGGTGCGTAGAATACAAAACAATTCGTACTTTTTCAATCAGACTTCTCAATGAAAAGTTATGGACTAGAAACCAATTTCGAAAGAAAATTCAAAGGGCTGTAACTTTTGAACCAGTAGCCCCATCTTGGAACTGTTTGAAATTATGGATTCTACAGGCCACATTCTATGAGAAAATTTGTTTCCGGGTCGATCTGGGACAATTTTTTTTTCGGGGCTCAAAAAAAGGCAGTGCATAACCTTCCTATTTTACCCAAAATCGACTGCACCAAAATTTCTCGGGAAAACGCTTTTTCTTATTAATTTTGGTGCGTAGAATATAAAACAATTCGTACTTTTTCAATCAGACTTCTCAATCAAAAGTTATGGACTAGAAACCAATTTAACAATTTAAACCTTGTATTAAAATTCAAAAATTTTAATACAAGGTGACTTAGATCGCATTTGTTTTGGTTATTTTTAGAAAAAACCATTTCAAATGCGAATATCTCCGAAACGAACCAATATAATTTAAAAAGCAAAGTAGATTAGTAATCACGATTAAATTGGCTTTCAAATAATGTGCCATTTGCCATAGGATTCCATTATAAAATTTTAGGGGTTAAGCTCCATACCTAGAGGAGTGAAGACTTGGGTTCGTGATTTGTATTCCAAAAGTTGTCCCCCTCGAATACAAAATTGAAGTGTTCGAGGATTTTTCGAAATTTCTAAATTTAATACCGTAAAAGCGCTCTGTATACTTCTCGTTGGGCCACTCTGTATAGTTACTGGACTATTTAATCGATCCTTACTTTTTTGCTCTCACTATCTACATCTACAACGAAAGTAGATGCATATAAGAAATATCGGTAGTGAAAATCCGTTCTAATCCTTTCGATTACGGACTCCCACGCCGGAATATTGGAACCCATAAATGTTAAATTTGTCAGCGGCATCTAAAGATAGAAAGTGAATTTATCAATGCTCTCAATAATGAAAGTAAATCGTATCGGGGTGACGTAGCTTAAGGCTTTTTTTGATTCACTTTCGCCGCGTGTCTTAAAAACGGACAGGTGCTTTTACGCTCGACTTTATAGTGGTAGCGTAAAAACTGTCCTCGGGCTTTGGAAGATATCTCTTTGTATTGTGAGCGACCTTATTACCCAAATGCGGCAGGTACTTTTACCAATTGCTTCGTGTCAAAATTGCACCTGGGCTAATGGCGCCGCTTGACGTAATTGCAATTCGCCAATTTGAAAGGGGTGGAGATTCTACTTTACAGTGTCGCGTTTAGGTTGCTTTCCCAAATTTAATGCAGAGAAGATTTATTATGGCTTTTATTTATTTGTAATTAATTTAATTGCACCTGGACCATTCCTTTTAGCACCATTCATCAATCAGTTGCATTAATATTGGAATAAATTAAAAAGTTACTTTCTTTGGCGTCTATGACGTTCGAAAATTTGTGAATTTTTTGTAATTCTAATCGCGCCCCTAATAGTTCTACAGCTCTAGACCAATTTTAGTAAAAGGAAACCCACTTAAGACTCAATTTTTCCTAGTTTTAATTGCACCCGCGGTACAGTTCCCAACAACCCAAGATTTTACCCTAAGAAACCACGATCATAGTAAATGGCCCGAAATTTTAATTTCCAAAAGGATAAGGCCCTTCTGATTTTTCGATTCCTAGAATCCATACGCCACTATTTCAGATTTTACAGTCTTCACAGCGTCTTCAAGCGCTGCAGGTTACTAATTAATCAAGCTACCAAGGCTAATTTTCCAATTTTTCTGACAGTTTTTGAATTTCTCCCCCTCTATTTACATATCCTTTTTGTTGACTTAGACATTTCAGGACTGCCTTCTGTATACTGTGACGTGCAGCAAAATTATTCAATACACTTTGGTTTCTTTTATCAATTGCTTGATAATTTGAACAGTTGGTTAACAAAACTGTATGGCATTTTTCCAGAAAAAAATCGCCAATAGTGCCGAATAATGTACTTTAAAATTAGTTCGCATTCCAAAAACTGTGCCGTGCTTAGGCTTAGAAGGTGAATTCCAACTTACTGCATGCGTTAAAATTCCGAAATCTGAAAACTGAGCAATTTATAATTGAAACCGTTTAAAAAGAAAGAGGTTATTACAATTTACAAATTGCACTGCTTTATGAGACTCATAACTGTACCCTCACTAGCTTATAGAACACAAAGTCACCAGTCATTAAGTCATTAATCCCTTGCCTCTACACGAAATTGAAATTATAATTTTGGAAGTAAATAACGTGAAGAATCGCAACTTTAAACAATCAAAAAACGTTAGAGGATATTGCCCTTAATTGATAGGCTCCCCATGACGTTGCCATTTCTGTAAATTGGAACTTCGGACTTAAATTGGGTGCAATGTGGTGTAATTCTGTTGCTACAACCACGAACCGCACAATTAACATCCAAATTACCAATATCAAAGTGAAAATTTATGGTTTAGTCTCCAGCACGACGCGACGGCGCTCTTTTTGCGATATTTGCATGTTAATTACCTGGACCACATAGCTACAGATTATGTCAGTAGCCAAACATTTCACGTTTTCCATGTTTATTACATCAGTCGATGACGACTGTTGTGAATTTACTTACCTAATTAGATTATAGGCTGTCTTAATCATCGTCGCTTTTAGTAAAAGCTATAAAACACGTCATGATCCTAAGGTTAGTCGTCTGATTGGACGTTCAAGTCTCTTGCTCGATGTATCTCTTGTTTAGTTCATGATGTGGTTCCCGTGTTTACATCACGAGACGGTTACACGGTCTTCGTTTGTGCAATTATGGAAGAGCGTATGTAAGGGATGCGATTCGGGAATTTTTGTAAGTAATCATTTTGTTTAATAATGGAATTCCATTGAAAGTGAAAGTTTAATACCTTTTTGTTAAAAATGACTGTTTAAAACAGTCCAAATAATTTATTTTATAAAATATGTACACTATGCAATAGGAGGTTTTCATAAAAGCTTTGAAATAAATATTTTAATGTCATAGTTTCAATTAAAGTTAGCCTTAGGTTTCAAGATGTTTCAGATAAAACTGACTCGATGGAACTTATGATTAGTTGAGGCAAGTAGTGAACAAGGTTATTTTTTTAATGTAAGCTATTAGCGAGTGGTAATGGTAATAATGTAATGGTAATTGAGTATAAGTAATGAAGTTTTCTGAAAGAATAAATATATTATGCCTAAATTAGTATTACAAAGGTACCTACTATTTTTAAATGAAGAAACAATTACATTTATATTTTGATCCAACATCCGGATTCAATATTATACACCGTGCTGAAAGCGAAAAGGGTCGTTGATTTAAAATGTATTGGCAAATGGCCTCGATTCAAACTAACCGCTAAGCAGGTTGGTGCAATACCGTATCGACAATTACGAAAAATTCAAAATCTAAGAAAACAAGATACCCACATAGCATTCGATATCTTATGTATATACATTTTAAATCCATAATGTACAGGGAATATCCTGTCCATCTTATGTATATACTATGTGTATTCATTATAGGATAGGCATATGTATTTTATGTTCAGTATGGATATTCTATAAATATACATTTTGGATGTGCTATGTATATGCATGGGATTATATGTTATGTATATGCGTTTTGGATTTGATACATGCGTGTTCTGTATTACCGACGATTTTCTGTGAATTACGGCGATGAAGATAGTAAGGTGCTATTGCAAATACAGCTCATTTTTCTAAAATCAGGAGTGTTATTCTGCGAGTTATTAATGAGTTTGTTTGTATGATTTTGACAGTGAAAGTAATGATTTTTATTTCGTATGTGCATCATCTAAAGTTGCAAATACGTGTTAGTGAGATGTAAAGACTGGATGGGAATTAATATAAGGACAAGAATGGCAGGTATGTTAGCAACCTATTTGTTATGAACTCGCGCTATTATAGTGTTGAACAAGAACACGATCAAAATGACTCAAGACTACAGTGTTAAATAAAACAATAATAATTTCTTAAGCACATTTTCCATTGTATACTAAGAGACTTAATAAACAAAAAGCTCCACTCCATGAAAAGAATTTATTTATGAAGGGCAGAATACTTTCAAAAAGTATTTGAATACTAAATAGTAAATACTTTACACAAATCAAAGGTATTTGAATAGGTACTAAATACTTTAACGTCCAGCACAAGCGAATACTAGATACAGATACATTGAAAAGTATTCAAATACTTTAAAAAATAAGTATTCAAATACTTTAGAATGTATTCGAATACTTGCAAAAGTATTCGAATACTATCAAAGGTATTCGAATACTATAAAAAGTATTCCAATACTTTGAAAAGTATTTCATTAACTTACTTTGAAAAGTATTCGAATACAGTAAAAAGTATTCAAATACTTGTCACTCAAATACATTAAAAATTTAAAATAGTATACTAGATAAAAGTCTTAATATACTTAAAAAATCAAGTTATACTTTGTATGGGGTTAGCTTTTTTTATATTTCTATTGTTATATACAAATTTAAGGGGAGTAAAAGTAATAATTTCAAACAGTTCCAAGATTGGGCTACTAGTTCAAAAGTTACAGCCCATTGAATTTTCTTTCGAAATTGGTTTCTAGTCCTTAACTTTTGATTGAGAAGTCCGATCGCAAAAGTACGAATTGTTTTGTATTCTACGCACCAAAATTAATAAGAAATAGTATATTACGTAACGAGTGTTGAAAGCGATACTTTTCACACGAGATGTGAAGTTTGCCATACGAGGCGAAGCCGAGTGTGGCAATCACACGAGTGTGAAAAGTGGCTTTCAAACGAGTCATGTACACTATTTTTCCTACGACTCTCCATACAACCAAAAATCTACTTACATAATGAAACAAAAGTTATTTTATTTGAACCAACCAACTACTAAAACTATCTAAAAATACGAAATAGATTCGATTTCTCTTTAACAAACTATTGTTATAATTACTTTAGCAAAGAGGTACTTGTCGTTTGGAGCTTCTGCAAGAAATTTACTAATATTATTAGACGTACGCTACTTTTCATAACTCACCCGCAATTTAGTTAGTAGTAATTCGAGTGTAGTGGATTTTGCCTCTTCCCTGATGTTGGATGGAGTACACTCTACCTCCATGGAAGAATCACTTTTCGCCATTAAAATTAAGTAAGGAATTAAACGCGTAGCACAAGGGAATAAATTTAAAAATAAACTAATCGCAATTTTAGAGTTTGACGTACGCCTACTACGTTGATGTTAAAGAAGATTAGACTACTACGAAAGCAAAACGTAACATGCGATTTGCTTTCTAATATATGGTAGATCTTATGAGAAAGCAAATCACACGGGTGCGTTTTGTTTTCCGTTACATTTTGCCATAAGTGAACGAAATTGTCAATTTTCAAGTAAACATAATTGTACGACATATGTCATTTTCATTGAAGGTCGTAGGAAAAAGTGTTTTCCCGAGAAATTTTGGTGTAGTCGATTTTTTGTAAAAAGGGCAGGGTAAGTATTCAAATACTATGCGAAGTATTCGAATACTAAATATTTGTGAAAGTATTTGAGTTACAAATACAAATACTGCTTCCATAAAAGTATTTAATTACAAAGTATTTGAATACTTTAAACGATTTGAATAATAAAAAGTATTTACAAAATCGAATACTGCCCAGCTCTGGTATAGACGCTAGTAAACTTCCCGAATGTTAGAGGAATCTCTATAGAACATCCATTCTGAATGTATACAACATACATAGAATATCCATCTTTTGCATATTACAGGAATATTCATGGTATATCCAGTTGTCAGTATACCAATATACATAGCATGTCTGATGCATATACATGCATATACATAAGACATCTAAAACGTATATACTCGTACTATGTATTATGTGAAGTCGGCCAAACTTATATCCCATGCACATACATCGGACATTTGCGACATACTTTTCCACATTCCATGGATATACAGTATCCCACGTGGAATGTACATGGTATATGCAATGTATATAGGTCTGCTATGTGGGTATGAAGAATCGCATACGATTTTCTGTAGGACAATTTTTTGCCACTCGGCTCGCATTCGGAAACCACACTTTTAATCCGGCTGATCCTTGAACTCGAAGGCGGGCAAAAGTATCACATATGGGGGATTTTTTTCGTTTGAAGAATTCACCTAAAAGCACATATGACTTCGTTGCGGTTTACAGTTTTATGCATTTTTGAGATGGCCACAAAAAGGAGTCTGTTTTACATGATATTAAAATAATCTATTTTCATATAAAGGAAGTTTCTGCAACTGAAAAGTTGACGAAATTAATTTCCACGATTTCCTCTAACTTCCCAGATCTCGTACCTACGAAAATCCTTTGGATTTTTTCCAAAATCCTTCGATCAACTTTGTAAGAATGCCATTTACAATGGAACTACAGCTCTCGTAAATTTCCGTAAGCAATTTTCATACTTGTATTTGGCGTTCTTTAGTTATAGTTTGTTGATTTCCCTAGTAAATCTACAGCAAAGTCATACCTTTTATGAAAGTTGTCATTGCTGTTCAGGTTTTTAGTGACCTTACCCAGAAATTAAACGAGTGGAAACAGATGAGAAATTCTTACCTCAGCCCAGGTTCGAACACCCGACCTCCGGCTTTATAGCCTAACACTCTACCATTGAAAAAACCTCGTTTCATTTACAATCCACACAAACATTTTACAATAAATGCGCCATTGAAGAAACAACCCCCCTCGGCAGTTAGAAAGCGTGCGGGTGTTACAGAATAGTCAAATGTCACTTTTTACCAGCACAATAAATTAAAGAATTTCAAGATTATATCATTTGGAAAACTCAAAGATATTCGTTACTCAAGGGAATGCATTAGTAAGAACCACTTTTTCGTAGCTCGTCACCCGAATAAAATAATCTTAACAAATTGTGGCCAAATTGTTACTATAAGGGCTGCATCGAAGCACAGACTCACGATCAAAATTATTGGTTTCAAGCACATATTCGAGGTTCAGCCGTTCCTGAATAAATATTAAACGAGTTACGAGCCGGATGTTACGCGTTCTAAATTATCGTGATAGGGTGATAGGGTAGTTTTTTGCCACTTATTTAGATCGATGCCTACTAAGCATTTTCTACACTACTTGCGCCATCTCTACAGCTATATCCGTCGGCACGATACCGACCGCAAAGACATCCGGCTCTCCACTCTTTTGGGCCAGATTTTATTGACGTTGTACGCCATTTTATCATTCCTCATAAATTGCGACACCTGGAGCGAGCTTATGCTCAGTCTCTTAATTAACTGGGCTTTTAATTTTTGGTCTACTACAATTGAAAGCAAAAATGGCAGTATACTGAAACCGATTGTCTACGAAAACGCGAACGGGTAAAAGGGGTCGAATTGCCCTGCCGTTGACAGAACCAACGTTGAAGGCTCAATAGCCCCTTTGGCAGAATAATATTAATGTCATTATTACAGAAGAATTAATTCATCCTTTCAACTAGGTTAACATAATATACTAGCAGTTTGTGGAATTAGCAAACTTCGTCACATTTTCAGCACAGATATCATTTGTAGCTTTGTTTTCTTGTTCAAATAACACATATTTTGCAAAGTTACCAATTAGAAGTAGCACACGATTGACGGGAGAAAATACCCACATAGCAGACCTATATACATTGCATATACCATGTACATTCCACGTGGGATATTGTATATCCATAGAATGTGGAAAAGTATGTCGCAAATGTCCGATGTATGTGCATGGGATATAAGTTTGGCAGACTTCACATAATACATAGTATTATATACGTTTGAAATGTCTTATGTATATGCATCAGACATGCTATGTATATTGCTATACTGACAACTGGATATATCATGAATATTCCTGTAATATGCAAAAGATGTTCAATAGGATATTCTATGTATGTTGTATACATTCAGAATGGATGTTCTATAGAGATTCCTCTAATATTCGGGAAGTTTACTAGCGTCCATACCAGAGCTGGGCAGTATTCGATTTTGTAAATACTTTTTAGTATTCAAATTCTTTAAAGTATTCAAATACTTTGTAATTAAATACTTTTATGGAAGCAGTATTTGTATTTGTAACTCAAATACTTTCACAAATATTTAGTCAATTTCGAAAGAAAATTCAAAGGGCTGTAACTTTTGAACTGGTAGCCCATTCTTGGAACTGTTTGAAATTATGGATTCTACGGGCCACATTCTATAAGAAAAATTTTTTTCCGAGTCATTCTGAGACAATTTTTTTTTCGGGCAGTGTACAACCTTCCTTTTTTACCAAAAATCGACTACACCAAAATTTCTCGTGAAAACAGTTTTTCATATTAATTTTGGTGCATAGAATCCAAATCAATTCGTACTTTTTCGATCAGACTTCTCAATCAAAAGTCATAGACTAGAAACCAATTTCGAAAGAAAATTCAAAGGGCTGTAACTTTTGAACTAGTAGCCCAATCTTGGAACTGTTTGAAATTATTACTTTTACTCACCTTAAATTTGTATATAACAATAGAAATATAAAAAAAGCTAACCCCATACAAAGTATAACTTGATTTTTTAAGTACTATTAAGACTTTTATCTAGTATACTATTTTACATTTTTAATGTATTTGAGTCACAAGTATTTGAATACTTTTTACTGTATTCGAATACTTTTCAAAGTATTCGAATACTTTTTATAGACAAAAAAACTCATTAATAACTCGCAGAATAACACTCCTGATTTTAGAAAAATGGTATTTGCAATAGCACCTTACTATCTTCATCGCCGTAATTCACAGAAAATGAGGCGCTAACGTTTGTAACGTCGGTAATACAGAACACGCATGTATCAAATCCAAAATGCATATACATAACATATTAGCACATCCAAAATGTACATTTATAGAATATCCATACTAAACATAAAATACATATGCCTATCCTATAATGAATATACATAAGATGCACAGGATATTCCCTGTACATTATGGATTTAAAATGTATATACATAAGATATCGAATGCTATGTGGGTATTCTCGTGACTGCTCAAGAAATGTTCTGAATTTTGGCAAAAAAATTATTCAGTAATATCTTATGTACCTACTCGCTAGTTCTTCTCAAAAGTTGCATCAAATACATTATTCTTCACTAACTGGAAGAAATTATTTAAAAAAACCTGCAATGGAAACCTTTGGATGACTGTTGTTCCTTAATTGAACATTCAGCATAATTCTAATGTATTGGGACATCAAATCCACGAAGAATTGACCCCTAGCCTGTATCTCCCAAAGCATAACAGATGTAAAGCGTGTTGTTTTTGTACAGAATTAGTAAAAATCTAACTTTTCGAATATATTTAACATACATTTTATTTTCCCTTATTTATAGAATTTAATAATCATTTTTGTAGAAAGTTACTCTTCAACTTCTAATGTTTCAGTTACTTTTATGCATTGTCAAATTGCAATATCAATTGCATACTGTGGGACCTTCACACTGCTGTAGCCTTTAGACGACTTACTAAACCATGGACCACAACGAAACGTTTAGTTTGTAATTCATTAAATCGAATTGGGTATTAATGAAATGTTTATAAATTAGAAAAGAAGAAAATCTTCGCTTTATGTATGTTTCTGTGTTGTGACATTGTCAACGCAGGTGCGTTATTGGTCCCGAATTTACTTATCATTTTTACACATTGTACAGTTAGTGAACTGCTAGAAAGTTTTACTGATCAATAAATAAAAGTGATGACAATTTAAACTACCACAACAAAAGTTTGTTTATGTAAATTTGATGTGTAGTAGCTAGTTTAACTTTCTCTAGTCTAGTGGTTTTGTTTTTATTACTAATTGTCGGGCGATTAAACTCTTTTGTGTTCAATGAAAGAGGCCGATGGCCTTTCACTGTTTAAAGGCGCAACTAGACGACCCACTTGTTAACGTTTTGCCCTTTTTTAATCCATATTCTTTTGTTGCAGAAGTATGACCAAGTATTGGCATTCTCATGGCTGCGGTGGTTAGTCATGCCATGCGACGTTATTCACCTTCGCCACCTGGCAGCAGCTTCTCCTCACACTGCCTAGGGGTAAGTGAGCAGTTTTAGGTGACCGCTAGTGATCGACAATTTTAGGGTGAGAGTTCGTATCCAGAGCCTTGGCCGCAAGGAGAGATAAGCGAGAGCTCGCTTTCGAGATCCATGCGTTACGCCGAACCATGGCTTTACGGAAGTATGCGAGCGCCCGGTGGGTTCCTCTTGGCCCCGGCCCTCGTACTCTGTTCGTGCTCGGAGTACCTTTCCGGTACCAAACGGTCGAGCAAGAAAGGTCCAAGTATTTGTAAAAAATGTAAAGGCACCCGCTTACCGTTACCGGCAAGCGAAACGCTAAGAGGAACCCCAAAATTTGGCACGGTACGATGTTACCCCACCGGTACAAACATAGCCCCACCCTCAAGTACAAATCGCGCTGGTACGGCAAGGGTGAGCACCCACACCCGTCCCTCCATTCTCCCATCGGCCGACCCGTACGAGTTAATGCGCCGCTCCAGGTTGTCGGCCGATAACGGAACAAAATTTACGATCCGTTCGTCGTCCCCCAGTCCGGCCCCATCTAGTAAAACAACACAAGTTCCTAAAGTACCGACGACGAATGGCGGACGCAAGTCAATTTTAGAATGTAACATAAATCCTTACGATCTCATGTCTGCAGATCGAGATAGTGCGAAAGATTCAAGTATAACCTTAGTGGGCGGACAAAGGGTACGAATTCGCCCACCCGACGTCGAACAAGAATATGAAGAAATAAAAGTACAACAGCAACCCGTTCGACAACCTAGTCAGATTCCAAAATTAAAAACCCCGCCGTCGTCGTCTAATACATCAAAAGGACAAACAAAATTGAAAGAAAAGGAATCTGATTGCAACCGGTTTAAATCTATATTAAAGAAACCCACAACTTTCAGTGACACGGATTCAAGCGGAGGCCCCGAGCGCAGCCCCTCACCTGCATCGAAAAGTGGGTCACACTTTTACCTACCGATGCCCATGAACACACCCAGGAAAAAAGTACAATTTTTAGTTGAAAACGAATTTGCCTCTCAAAATGATGATAGCGCAAAGGATGGGGTCTGCGACGAAGTTAACATATACGAAGAGGTGCCTCACCACGAGGAAGGTTAGTATAAAATGCATTTTGATGTAAATGTCAGTTGAAGGCAGGCTGCTATGGTATTTAAAGCGGCGAAACCTTGACCTTTCCCTCGTGTTAAATGTCTTTCTTTGTGTACCGGTCGTCAATTCATTATCCCAAGACATCGTCAAAACTTGGGAGATCCATTAGTCGATTTTCTCGAGGTTGTATTACTTTTCAACTTCAATCTGTGTGTCTATTAGCATAAAGAAGTTGTTTGCATTATGAATAAACGAATTTCAGTTTTTTTCTAACTTTCCTAACTTATGAATAACAGAATGAGTCGTTTTTGTTAAAAATTATTACTGAACAACACCATCAGAATGGAAATCATTAGTTCCACTTTTTTTAAGAAACGCAGCAAAATACGGCCTGTGGAGCGGAAGTAAAAACGAACCCATCGAGTGTATTGATGAACCGATCAGTTAAAGAGATAACACATCCTCCCCTTATCTTTCCGACCCTACACTTATCGAAAAGGTTGCCCATTACACAATAATCAAATTCACTTCAAGAGACCGTTTGCTTTTCCATGTTTCCAGCAAAAGTTTCATGACACTAAAAGGGCTACAAAATTTGAACTCAAACCCTAAACTAAACGAAAATACTGTAGTTATGTGTAGCATGCTGGGCAAAGAACTCAATTTCGCCTTATGATAGGAAAGATATGTAATAGTGACAGAAGACAACAGGAAGCACCATTATACAGGGGTACATAAATAACACTAATGGTAACAAAGTTGATTTGGAACCCTTACTCATTGGAACTAAGAGGTGGAGAGTGCTTGATCCTAGGCGTGCTGGACCTTACTTTTGCTTGCTCCTTGCAAAATAAGAATTATGGATACTCTCAATTTGCAGTCAATAGCCACACGCTCCCCAAATCAGCCTAAAAGCACCCATTATCTACTTCTCAGCAAATTGAGCCTGTGGGTCATAGTCACCCCCCCACCGAATTAATTATCTCCAGGAATACATTTCTTAAATTATGTTAGATTTGTTTATTGACTCACACAGTAAACCTCTCTCCGGCCAATTTTTATTTAGAATCTTATGGGCAAAATAGGCAAGCGTCACTTAGGTGGTCTATTTTGAATCAAAATGCTGCAAAGAAGACGTAATTCTTATTCGATTTTGTGAAAATGACACAAAATGAAAAAGAAAGTGGCAAATTTCAGCGTTCCCTTAAAAATTAATACCAGCAGCATAGGGGTATCAATGATACAGTTGAGAAATGTAGCTTAATTTGTCCCTATTCAACATAGAATTAACTTTCCAAATTTTGTTCCAAAGTAGACGCTATTTTTAATTGATTTTGTGCACATTTTCACACTCTTCAAACAAAATTAAAAAGGAAATGTTCAATTTCATCGTTCTCTTGAAAATTATTACTAGCAGCGTAGGGGTATGAATGGAAAAGGTGAGATAGCCAAATTTGTCCCTATTCAGATTTTAATTCAATTTCAAAGTTTTGTTGCAAAGAAGACGCTATTTTTCTTCGATTTTGTGCACATTTTCACATTCTTCAAACAAAATGAAAAAGGAAGTGGTGAATTTCATCGCTCCCTAATACCAGCAGCAAAGGGATAGCAATGGAAAAGTTTAGAAATGTAGCTTAATTTTTCCCATTAATTAAATTTTAAAGTTTTTTTGCTAAGATCACGTTATTTTTCTTCGATTTTGTGCACATTTTCACATTCTTGAAACACAATTAAAAAGGAAGTGGTCAATTTCATCGTTCTCTTGAAAATTATTACTAGCAGCGTAGGGGTATGAATGGAAAAGGTGAGAAATAGCCTAATTTGTCCCTATTCTGATTTTAAATCAATTTCAAAGTGTTGTTGCAAAGAAGACGCTATTTTTCTTCGATTTTGTGCACATTTTCATATTCTTGAAACAAAATTAAAAAGGAAGTAGTCAATTTCATCGTTCTCTTGAAAATTATTACTAGCAGCGTAGGGGTATGAATGGAAAAGGTGAGAAATAGCCTAATTTGTCCTTATTCAGATTGTAAATCAATTTCAAAGATTTGTTGCAAAGAAGACGCTATTTTTCTTCGATTCTGTACACATTTTCACATTCTTGAAATAAAATTAAAAAAGAAGTGGTCAATTTCATCGCTCCCTAATACAAGCAGCAAAGGGATAGCAATGGAAAAGTTTAGAAATGTAGCTTAATTTTTCCCATTCAACTATAATCAAATTTTAAAGTTTTTGCTAAGATGACGCTATTTTTGTTCGATTTGAGGCACCTTTTCACATTCTTGAAGAAAAATTAAATAGAAAGTGGTAAATTTCATCGCTCCCTTGACTATTAATAGTAGCAGCATAGGGATATCATTGGAAAAGTTGAGAAATGTAGCTTAATTTGTCCTTATTCAACTTAGAAAAAAATTTTAAAGGTTTGTTGCAAAAAAGACGCTATTTTTCTTCGATTTTGTGCACATTTTCACATTCTTGAAACAAAATTAAAAAGGAAGTGGCCAATTTCATCGTTCTCTTGAAAATTGTTACTAGCAGCGTAGGGGTATGAATGGAAAAGTTGAGAAATAGTCTAATTTGTCCCTATTCAGATTTTAATTCAATTTCAAAGTTTTGTTGCAAAGAAGACGCTATTTTTCATCGATTTTGTGCACATTTTCACATTCTTGAATGAAAAATTCACATAGAAAGTGGTAAATTTCATCGCTCCCTTGACTATTAATAGTAGCAGCATAGGGATATCCATATCATTGGAAAAGTTGAGAAATGTAGCTTAATTTGTCCTTATTCAACTTAGAAAAAAATTTTAAAGGTTTGTTGCAAAAAAGACGCTATTTTTCTTCGATTTTGTGCACATTTTCACATTCTTGAAACAAAATTAAAAAGGAAGTGGCCAATTTCATCGTTCTCTTGAAAATTGTTACTAGCAGCGTAGGGGTATGAATGGAAAAGTTGAGAAATAGTCTAATTTGTCCCTATTCAGATTTTAATTCAATTTCAAAGTTTTGTTGCAAAGAAGACGCTATTTTTCATCGATTTTGTGCACATTTTCACATTCTTGAAACAAAATTAACAAGTTAAAAAGTAATCGTAAACGATTTACATAAAGCGCATTTCCACTTGTATTCATTTCCCATGTCCCATGTAAGATGCAACTTCTATTAAAATCGTAAAAATCCGGCCACAAATATGAAAGATAGCGTTGCACATGGGCAATCCATTTTTGACGTGCTACTTCAATTTCAGTTTATGAGAAGAATTTCATTCAATGCTTTTCTAAATAAGAAGTTTGAGAAGAATTTGCTTTTCTAAATAAGAAAGTTGGAACTGCGCATGCGCAAACCTAAATTTTAAAACTAATGTTAGATTTTCCTTTGTTCCAAGCGCCTAAGTATCAAATTTCAGTTAAATGGTGCCATAGATAAAAAAAGTTGGCACTGCGCATGCGCGCATGCGCAAACCTAAATTTTGAAATTGGCGTTTGATTTTCCTTTATCCCAAGTGCCTATGTATCAAATTTCGTTTAAATTCTCCATAAATAAAAAAGTTGGCACTGCGCATGCGCAAAACCAAATTTTGAAATTGGCGTTTGATTTTCCTTTATCCCAAATGCCTATGTATCAAATTTCGTTTAAATTCTTCCATAAATAAAAAACTTGGCACCGCGCATGCGCAAAACCAAATTTTGAAACTGGCGTTTGATTTTCCTTTATCCCAAGTGCCTATGTATCAAATTTCATTCAAATACATTTATAAATAAAAAAGTTTGCAATTCGGTTTATAAATGGTCGAGATGCGAAAAGGGCACTGTGAATTTTGAATCGATTCGATTCAACTTTTGGCATTGCGTATTATATGGCTAAATCTATGCCCATATTGAATTTCATGCAATTCAGTTCATAACTAACGGAGATGTAAAGCGATCGAACATTTCTAAACAAAGTTATCGTTCACACGGACAGATAGATGGACAGACAGACAAAGGAACAGACGGAGAGACCAACCGGCAGGCGACAGATAGCAATGCAAAATTATAAGCGATCTCTAGGATCGTTAATAAACGGCAAAAGTGTAAAATTATGGAACATGTAAAAAACGGTTTTTTGTTTTTTTTACAATAACTTTTTTTGTAAGCGGTACAGAAAAAATTCCTTCCTTGGTACAAGACTCGACACCATAACGAACCAAATAGCGAAAAAAGTAGAACAATAGCTCTTAAGATAAAAAAACTAGTAGCGTCGCAAAGTTAGCGGACGGACGGACGGACGGACGGACGGACAAAGTGGCCACAATAGCGCATTTTTTTTATTTTTGTGGAAATGCGCTAAAAAGGAAGTGGTCAATTTAATCGTTCTCTTGAAAATTATTACTAGCAGCGTAGGGGTATGAATGGAAAAGGTGAGAAATATCCTAATTTCTCCTTATTCCGATTTTAATTCAATTTCAAAGTTTTGTTGCAAAAAAGACGCTATTTTCTTCGATTTTGTGTACATTTTCACATATTTGAAACAAAATTAAGAAGGAAGTAGTCAATTTCATCATTCTCTTGAAAATTATTACTAGCAGCGTAGGGGTATGAATGGAAAAGGTGAGAAATATCCTAATTTGTCCTTATTCCGATTTTAATTCAATTTCAAAGTTTTGTTGCAAAAAAGACGCTATTTTTCTTCGATTTTGTGTACATTTTCAGATATTTGAAACAAAATTAAGAAGGAAGTGGTCAATTTCATCGTTCTCTTGGAAATTATTAATAGCAGCGTAGGGGTATGAATGGAAAAGGTGAGAAATATCCTAATTTGTCCTTATTCCGATTTTAATTCAATTTCAAAGTTTTGTTGCAAAAAAGACGCTATTTTTCTTCGATTTTGTGTACATTTTCACATATTTGAAACAAAATTAAGAAGGAAGTGGTCAATTTCATCGTTCTCTTGGAAATTATTAATAGCAGCGTAGGGGTATGAATGGAAAAGGTGAGAAATAGCCTAATTTGTCCTTATTCAGATTTTAATTCAATTTCAAAGTTTTGTTACAAAGAAGACGCTATTTTTCTTCGATTTTGTGCACATTTTCAAATGCTTGAAGCAAAATTAAAAATAGAGTGGTCAATTTCATCGCTCCCTAATACCAGCAGCAAAGGGATAGCAATGGAAAAGTTTAGAAATGTAGCTTAATTTTTCCCATTCAACTATAATTAGATTTAAAAGTTTTTTGCTAAGATGACGCTATTTTTGTTCGATTTTTAGCACCTTTTCACATTCTTGAAGAAAAAATAAATAGAAAGTGGTAAATTTCATCGCTCCCTTGACTATTAATAGCAGCATAGGGATATCATTGGAAAAGTTGAGAAATGTAACTCAATTTGTCCCAGTACAACTTAGAATTAAATTTCAAAATTTTGTTAAAAAAAAGACCTTATTTTTTTGTGTGCACATTTTCACGTTATTGAAACAAACTGAAAAAGAAAGTGGCCAATTCCTTTGCTTTTCCCTTAGAACGTGATACTCGCAGCATAAGGGTATAATGAAAAGATTTACAAATGTCGCTTATTCTTATTCATTCATTCTTCAACACTCGGCAGGGGTTTAATTCGCTTGCGAAATGTTAGCCCCAGGAAAATTCGTCTCCGAAGTAACCTCCACCCCACCATAGATAATATACCCTAGGAACGTTTGAAATTCCTCCCCTCTCTCTTCAAAAAATTCAATACCCGTGTTAATTGGTCCCAATCTCTCGCTCGCAGAACGAGTTTCGATGATGGGGAGGGTGATTATATTGGCGAGGCGAGTTCTGTGAGCAAATTTATCTTCCTCTTGGTAGTGAATGTGAGGCGGAAACGAGTTTTATACACATATATACTCGCCGTATGATGTGTTAAGCTCTTTCCGATAAATCTGTCTTCAGAATTAGTGGCTACCAAAAACCTGTGGTAGTACTTAAATTCGTTTCCGTAAAATTGGCCTCTCAAATACTATCCTTCTAACCATAGAAAATATACACTAGGAAACATTTAAATTGGCCTGACCCTTAAAAAAAGTACAACGCCTGTTACTTGGTCTCAATAGATGCAATTGTGTGAATTCGCCACTTAAAGAGTTATCTCGGAGAGAAATTACATGGGAGGAAAGGGTAGGGGAGTAGGCTAGGAGCAAATTTTGTAGGGCAAGATTGGTAAGCAAATGTTACGAGCATGTTTCCTCTTCCTTTTTGAGGCGGAAATTCGAAAAAATTTATTATGAGTATAGTCTGGGTTAAAATGCCCCGTTACAATTGAAATGTACCTTCATGAATATCTCTGATTAATTACCTAGGCTAGGGCTGCGCAATAATAGAAATTCACTATCGATTATCGGTAATACACAATTATCGATTTCCGATATGATCGGTTATTGACATTATCGTTTATCCATCTTGCCGATTATATCGACTGGCAATTATCATTAGTGTCGACTATCGATGATTCTTTCTTATTATGAAAATGGTTACCTGTGGCGAAAGGATAAACATTTGTAAAAGCAGATCCGAATAGGAGGCAACACTGTCTGTTCTGAAGGTCTTACATCAAACCACCTCCTCGGTGAGATTCGTACCCTTTTTGTATGAAAACCCGTACCACAACCACCTTCAGCTATTTATGTCACTGCTACCCTACAGCATAACAAGATCATATTACGCATTGGGATAAAAAAATTTTGTTTCTTAGTTTTTTTTATAGTAGGAAATTTCGCCCCAAGAGGAGAATTTGGTCCAGGACATCTACCCCAAGAAAATCACTTACTTTTTAATATTTAATTGTACAAAAACATTAACGTTGGGAACTGAAAGGGTCTTTTCAAAGGGACCAAATTATATGTTCGTAATATTAATTGAGAATTTTTGAATTGCATCCTACCTCTAACGTTTAGTTCCAGTTGAATTTGAATCCCGAACGAACGTTCTCCGGCGCAGTGTCAGCGAGCACTTCCTCCAACAGCCGACAATCGCCGTTTTTCACGATACGACCGCACTACGTCCGAAATCATCACGTGCCGATACCAGAAGCTATTTCGAAACCATAACCGATTTTCGAAAACTCGATGGCATCGCACCCTCAGTTTCGGAACCACTTAAAACATTGCCAAAGACACCAACAGTTCCCCAAGAGGCCGAATTAGACAAACAATCCGATAATACAAGCGACGAGGAAGCGGTGGTAGAACCGGAACCTCCGGCAGACACGAAATTAGAAGAACCCGTGGAAGAGGTGGTTCTTGAACCTGAAACACCACCACGAGAGGCAGAACCAAAAGTTGACATCCAACCTAGCAGCCCACCCACGGCACCGCCCCGTAAGCGAAGCAGCAGTAAACTACCACTATCAACTACTGTGGATATTTCACCTCCAAAAGTTAAAACGGAACCAGACTACACGAACAAAACTGTGGTTCAAATTCGCGCACCTTCAGCCGTCCACAAAATCCAAATAAAAAACGAATTCCTGGACAACAACATCCAAACTGTCGTGATATCCGATAACGCCCAGCGAAAAACGTCGATTATGATCAATGGCGACGACTGCTACTCGACAATCAACGTTAACGACAACGTTCCTACGTACCAATCCTCAGTAGTGGTAAAAGACATGGGCGCAGAACAGGACACAAAACTCCATCGGAGCAGTTCCGTCTATATAACCGGAAATTTCGTCAGTCCAGAACCCAAAGTTCCTACAAACGGAAAGACATTCGCGGAGTTTCGCGACGAAGCTAGTGAGCTACCGACCAAAGAGCATTTTATAATTAGAACGAAACCGTCAAGTGAAGATCTCAAGGAGCTGCTAAAGGATCCGGTCGAAGCGGTGAAAAGAAACTTAGTCCCTCACGTCTGTGGTAAATCAGATGTGCTCAGGCGACCTAGCGACAGGAAGCTTAGTAATTTCACTTCCAATTTGCTCGAAGATTTCGATGGTAAGAATATGGATAACTTGATACACGACTCTTTAGTCAAGCTTAAGAATTACGAAAGTGACGATGACAAGGATACTTACTCAGATCGTAACTCGTCGACTCCATACGAGCTGATTGATCCAGGATCGGATTGTTACACCGATAACAGCAATAGGAGTAGTTTAACCGAGGAGGAGTTGAATGCGAGGACGAAGTTTTATGAGATGCTAGCCGATTCGGCGATCGCCGAGATTTCCGAGGGTGAAGATCACCATTACGAGAGTATCAGGCAGCATTCCGACCCGATTTATGAGGAGATCAATCCGCCACCGCTTCCGTCGAACCCACCGCCTACTAGTATAATCGACGATTTGCAATTGGACAAGCACTTTACGACAAGGTACGCACTTGGTGTTAATTCGCGCCGATAATTTTCATTTTTGTAGGTCAATTTTTGAGGGTGCTTCAAAGTACGATATTCTCAGCTACCTAGTTGACGCAAAGGAGAGAGGGATTGTACCGGAGGATAGTTACAATTTCGGCAACTCGGATGTGGTAATTGAGGAGGATGGGAAGGACGTCTCGGAGCAGTACCGAGTGTCGCATATAAGTACCGTTAGTGACTCGAGCGAGGATAGTTCTTTGGTCGTGACCAATTCTGAACTACCCTTCCAAAAATCTGCGGAAGTCGAACGGAACGATTCCGGTGTCGGTTCTGAAACGAGCAAGAGCTCGCTCAGCCGGTACCGTACAAAGTCGGAACCGTCGCTTACTTGCGAAGATTGTGAAATTCCAGTGGAGTCCCCGACAGAGAACGAACCTCTGCTCTGCCGAAAATGCCTGAAGAAACGATCCGAGAGAAAGGAAATTATAACGGAGATTGTTGAAACTGAAGAAAAATACAGCAGAGACCTGCAGATTATTTTAGAAGAATTTTACCAACCAATGCTCGTCGCTGGTTTACTAACCCCCGATCAGCTTTCCGCGATCTTCTTAAACGTAGAGGAACTTCTCGAGAACAGCCAAGCGTTAGCGGAACGCCTAAGGGATGCCGTTGAAATAGCAACGGAGCAAGGAGATGAAGATTTACTAACCGTTAACATCGGGAAACTATTTCTGGAGGCGGCCCCTATGCTGCACGGTTTTGAAACGTACTGTATACGCCAAGGAAATGCTAGTCTTCTATTAGCGAGCTTAGAAAAGGAAAAAGAACTGTTGCGCATATTCTTAAGGGTCTCACAAATGGAAAATACCATGCTCAGGCGGATGAATCTGAATTCATTTCTTATGGTGCCGGTACAACGAGTAACCAAGTATCCGTTGCTGCTAAGTCGACTGTGCAAAGCCACGCCAGGTCACCACGAGAATCGCGACCAATTAAAAGAGGCCCAACACAAGATCGAACTGCACCTAAGCCACATGAACTCAGAAACTAAAGACGTCCCGAGCAAGCTGTGGAGACGAATCGGGAGCGGTTCGGGACGACGGGCCAGTTCGGAAATGGATTTAGTCAGTATCAAACTGCGTAAAATAGCGGTTGACGTCTTGGAGTGGAATCACGAGGAAGCGAAATTTGCATTGGAAGGTAAACTACTATTTACACAGCCAACTGATAATAACTGGAGAAAGGGACGTACGATAAAGTTGGCCCCTATCAACGCCCTGCTTGTGACGAATGGAAAGGTAAGTTACGCATTTTCCTGAATCGAAAATTTTCATGAAGTGATCCTCTTCAGCAAATGATGGGTAATAAAGTGGAGGAGGACGGGTTAACTTTTCCCAAGAATGGAATACGGGAGGCCGCCCTTCTGTTGGTAAGAGACAAAAATGGCAGGTACTCATTGCTAAGGGAGCCTCTCTATTTGGATCGGTGCATAATTGCAACCGATCCGGCTTGGAACAGCTACTTTGAGGTACAGGAAGTTATCGGAAAGGACACCTTCATTTTTAAGGTTGTTGTCTTGAAACGCTCCAAGAACCTAACATCAGTTGTTTTAGGCCGAAGATGATGGCCTAACGAGGCAGTGGTATCGTCAGCTGCAGTTTCACGCCCAAGGCTTGGGCGGTTGGAGAAAACGTAGAAACGCTTTGGCTAACATCATGATTAACGGAATGGGCCTGCGTTCATGATTAAAATGTAATTAATTAGCGTCCTTCCCAAAGCTTCCACTCTGAGAAACTAAACAAAAACGATCTGATTAATTAAAAATGTTTTTATATTGCATTTATGTGTACATAACAAGTAAAGAAATTGTTAGCAATTTAGCTGTGATATTTTTTGGAAGCGGTTTTTGGGAAATGCAATTTTATAATTTAACAAATTGAGTATTTAAAATAATTGTGGCAGTAGTTTAACGTACCTATATTAGCAATTATTATCTTTATTGTACGATATATAATTAATTAAATAAATCAATACCTTTCTTGTGTTCTATAGACAACATTATAACTTCGTTGGGCGATCACTTGGAATAATCAAACACTACATTTAGTTTCTTTCGTTTCTTTCCCTAATATCCCACTCCAGTGCCTTATAACTGGCTAAGTAAGATCCTTCGATTAAGCCTTAACCTGTGTTTACCGCAGACCGTTCAAAATTTTATGACCCTATCGTCCGATATATAGCTATCCTTACTTTAAGCGGTTCAGCTATTGTAGTTTTTTTTAGATTTTCAGTGTTCCAGAATCCCATTTATTCAATATGATAAAATTCTATTTAATTTTTTATAAACATTACTTTGATAATATCTTTGGAGACAACAGAACCACCTTAAATGATTGTTTTAATATCCTTAACACTCCTGAAAATCAGTGCCTATAGAAAACCTCCCATTACTGACCATGTCTTTTTAGATTCCTTCCATCGCCCAACACAGAAGTTATCTTCCGTTTTTCCACAGACTTGTTAACCTCCCCTTCAACCCCCAATTATTCTGGCCTCCAAGATCTCAGGATACCATCCTCTGTGATTTTTTCTTGTGGGGATACATCAAACATAAAGTGTATACCTATACACCACCATTAGCAGGAAGCATACCATAGATCCAGTAACAGATTACCACGCCATCGAAACAATCGATCAAAACTGTAATGAATTAATACAGTCATTAATGTACTTATTGCAAGAACTTGATTACAGGGTTACACAACCTCAGTTTGGCCTTCGATCATACTCAAGTAGGTACTCAATTTTAACTGAATAAAATTTTAAATTTTATTTAGAACCTTTTCATTTACCCTGTACGTTTGTTTTTGAATTTCCCACCACCTTTCCATATTTTACTTCTCACAATTCAACGTGAATGATCAAAATGTGTGCATTGTTCTATTAATTAGTAGCTATAAGTTACAGGGACTAAGGCAAGTCTCTGATAAGTTACCCCTTATCGATAATAGGTAATAGTTTACGAGATAGTTTACGAGATAATGCTTTTCAAAGTTTATCGATTTTTTCAAAGTCGAAAATTGTTAGCACTATTTTGTTGTTCTGTAATTCTATTCTATAAAAGAAAACGATAGGTGTAAATGATATTTTTAATTAAACTTCAAAACAGTCGTTTTATAAAAAGAAATTTTGTTTGACTTCCATCTAAGTATATTTTCCCTTCTTGGACGAGCACGGTTGACCATCGTCAATTTCCTGACTTGAAAGATTTGTGGCTGGATTGACAATATCTAACAGTTCCAAGATTGGGCTATTAGTTCAAAAGTTACAGTCCATAACTTTTGATTGAGAAGTCCGATCGAAAAGGTACGATTTGTTTTGGATTCTACGCACCAAAATTAATAAGAAAAAGTGTTTTCCCGAGAAATTTTGGTGCAGTCGATTTTTGGTAAAAAAGGAAGGTTATACACTGCGTTTTTTTGAGCCCCGAAAAAAAAATTGTCTCAGATCGACTCGGAAAAAAATTTTCTTATTGAATGTGGCCTGTAGAATCCATAATTTGAAACAGTTCCAAGATTAGGCTATTAGTTCGAAAGTTACAGCCCTTTGAATTTTCTTTCGAAATTGGTTTCTAGTCCATAACATTTGATTGAGAAGTCTGATCGAAAAAGTAGGAATTGTTTTGGATTCTACGCACCAAAATTAATAACAAGAAGTGTTTTCCCGATAAATTTTGGTGCAGTCGATTGTTGGTAAAAATGGAAGGTTATACACTGCGTTTTTTTGAGCCCCGAAAAAAAAATTGTCTCAGATCGACCCGGAAAAAAGTTTCTTATAGAATGTGGCCTGTAGAATCCATAATTTCAAACAGTTCCAAGATTGGGATACTAGTTCAAAAGTTACAGTCCTTTGAAGAATTTTCTTTGGAAATAGGTTTCTAGTCCATAACTTTTGATTGAGAAGTCCGATCGAAAAAGTACGAATTGTTTTAGATTCTACGCACCAAGAAAAAGTGTTTTCCCGAGAAATTTTGGTGCAGTCGATTTTTGGTAAAAAAGGAAGGTTTATACACTGTCTCAGATCGACCCGGAAAAAAATTTTCTTATAGAATGTGTAGAAATTTAAGACTTTTGTTCATCTATTCGAATTTCTGCGTCACCCTCTAATTGTAATAAGGATGTAACCCAAACTTAAGTACCATTCAAACTTAAATTTAATGTAAATTCCTTATCAAATTTCATCTTAGGGGAATGTTTCATTTAAAAACTAAGAAAGTCTTTGCGATTCATTTTAACTATCTAAAGATGACCTACTATCGAGACATGTAGCAACCAACAAATTCAAAATTTCCGGTAACTTTATTAAGTTCTCTGTGAAACTAACTTATTGTTATTGATCTTCCTAAAACTGTACACTTTTCACTAAATCGCTTTCTGATATTTTGAATTATTTAAAACTATCTAAAATCTCTGTAACTTTCTGAAACTTCATGAAGCCCTCTAAAGCACTCTAAATTTAAAACTTTTGAAACTCCTAAGTGCCGTTGAATTTTGGCTGCGCGAATTTTGAAATGTTCCAAAAGCACATGTGAAAATCTGAAACTCTTAAAAAATCACTAAAACAACATGAAACATTCTAAACTTTTTCCACTTTTTTCGCTGAAATTACACTACCTAGAATTTCCTAAAACTCGCGAAAGGAATCTCATTTGAAGTGCCTCGAATGCTCGTATGCACTCTTTAAATGAATCATTTTTCAACTCAAAGCCCTCATTTGTACTCATTTAGTTGAATGAAACGCAAAGTTTGGCAACTCCCAAAGTAAAGTGGTCATTTCTTTTGTGTTTCGTTATCTTATACGCCCCAATTCGTCTCGCCTATGAAGGTGCAGTTAAACCCCAATAAATCATCCCCTGAAACTGATATCTTTTCTAGGCAAAATTGCTTGTTTCAAAACAATGGTATTGTAAGTTAAATTAAATTACGTCGTTTATTTATTTACAATTAATTAACAATGTCTTTATAACAGTCTCAAATGGCTTACTTTATAACAGTAATTACAATTTGTCACACAGTTATATAGTAACCATTCTTTCTAGAATGTTCTCGAGTGCTCAAAGACGCTTTGTTCTTTGTTTGTAACTGGAACAATAGAGATTTTTCTTATATTCTTAAGAAGGTGTTTACAAGCTTTCAAAGCGATCGGACGTTTCTAAACAGTTGTTGTTATTGTGCATACGGATAGACAGACAAACGAACAGAGAGGCAGACAGAAATACAAAATTATAAACTATCTATAGGATTATTAATAATTTAGCAGAGTGCATCCTTTCAACCTGGATATTACCTCCCAACATGCGTCCTGGCTCAGACGACTTCTTAACAATATAATTTTTTTACAAAAAATGTTTGTGTACAAATTAGCCCTTAATTTATACGTTGCATATCTTTTTCCTTTTTTAGAAATTCTTTAAATAAGGTATAAATTGTTTTAACAACGAAAATCTAATTAGGGTACAAATCAGTCTTTAATTCATAGTTTTTGATGTGACTAATAAAATTTCAATCGGGAAAAGTAGGGGTGCTAACTTGATTTCAAGTTAAAAATCCGGCAGAACTAAGCGGGTCCAAATTCTAATTTTATGGGTACAAATTAGTCTTTAATTAACCCAAAATTGTAGGCACATTTTTAATTGATTTGAGCAAAGTAGGGGTGCCAACTTTATCTACCTTTTTTAAAGAAAGTCGAAATTATAAATAGACTGATAGTGTTACAGGATAATGGCCGACGCCTAGGGGTTTAGTGGGTATACCCATCGTAGGAGAGCGCTATGCTACTTCGGCATTTCTCTTTCCAGAGTCTGGGTAAGCCCCTACCCCCAAAAAAGCATTCTTCTTAGAATTCTAAAATCACAGTATCAAATAAAATTGTTTTGTTCGACGTCAAAAATTGATGTTTCCTGAGATCAATTCTATGGTTGCAAATTAGTAAGGGTATATCAATTCTCGCATGAAATACCAAAGATCCTTGCTCTTTATTACCTGATTTAATAAAACGTCCCGTACACTTCTGGCGTGAGAACTAGTAGTGAGATCTGAAGACATCTTCAACTTGTTGATTGTTTGTACAAATTCGGCAGCGCCATCTTCGACAGTATGCATACAGTAGAGTTCAATATGAACATAAATTTGATTATGTCCATAATTTTACATCTAATTAATTAATAAGATGAATACCATCTATCGGAAATAGCTGATCGAAACTGAATGTTTAATGTCGCAACTGTACGGTCAATTATAATTTTTTATTTTTATATTTGACGTGCACATCTAAACTGAAGTAGATTGGTAAGGGTGATGGTATTTAGATAGGTAAATTTTGTGTACATAGGCAGTCCACAAATCATCACGATTGCGTCTTTCATTAATCAAGAACGATACGTCATCGATAAAATGGCATTTGAAATCGGGATGTGAGCACCCAACTTTTAAAACCATTAGTTATGTAACATACAACCTTGAAGGATGCTATTTTTGCATTTAGGGAAAGCGCAAAGGAATTAAATTAGGGAGCTCGAGATGATGTACCAATTAATAAGCAAAACACTTCGTCATACTTTCCTTCAAAGGCAAATTAAAATTCCATTATATTTAAGTGCCTACCACGCGCGAGAATCAACCCCTACTTTTCAATCACTTTAGTTACCGGAAGGTAAATCAACCCTTCACTTTTAGAAAAAAAAATGTTCTCGGCATGTCGTAATTTGATACACAAAGCAAACCGGGCCATAACTCACCAAAAGTAGTGGCATAAAACTCTTTCGAAACGTAGCATTTGAAGTTAATAAGGCTGCTTAACTCGAGCCGGGAATGTTTCTTGCAATTATTGAATAAATGAAATTCTTCCGCACGATCTAGCAGTAACATCAATCGAGCGTAAGACCCTTGGACTTTCTCTTAACATGGAATGGTAATAAAACACCATTTCATGGCCCCCATCTAGTTAGAGTTGTCGCCAAGATACTTCATAAAACGTAATGAAGAGTAAAT